TCACTGCACGCTGTATGTATGATCCGGTTCTATCGATCAGTACCCAATGCTCACGTTCATGAGGGGAATTGAGCACTCTGAAATACTGAGTGTTCGCTTCTCGACAAACTTCCGACCTGTCTACCGCCGTTCGTCAAAGTTCCCTCAGGACTGCTGAAACCTTGAATATGTGGTTTTCGACCTCGCTTCAACTGCATATCGCCCGTCACTCGAGAACCAGATCTGAATGTACTTGAACATCTCCATCCGTTCCTGTGGGACCTCACTGACATCACTGAGTGCAGGGTGCACTCTACTGGATTTTTCGAGAGGATCACGGCCTCCGTCTTGTTGCACTCGGGTTCGTTCCAGCTGTAGTGCAATTGGATTCGACCCGATCGAACACGCTCTGGAGCTTCTGTCGAGAACGCTCAAGTATTTCCACATGCCATCGATAAGGTTTGCCATTTCTTCAAATATTACTTCGGGAATGTTATAAAAAAGAAAGAGTCATCACTATTTTTTCCGCATAATCGAAAGACCCCATCGTTACCGTGACGTCATCGATGTTGACCCACTTTCGGGCCGAGGACGCACCTGCAGATCCCGTCCACGAACACGAGGAACAAGGAGAGGGGACAGGACCCTGCCGGAGTACAGGGCGGGTGCCAGAAAACAATCCCCACTGTCCCCCGTCCTGGATTGACGTGTTGGTCGTTGAGGCCCCTTGGCCCTGGGACGAGAACGCCTTCGTGGTAGCGTCCCGTGTCGGGAAACGTGAGTCTGGCGCCGTACCGTTCATACCCTTCGGCGTCCCTCCCAGATGGATGTGAGCTCCCCATGGTGTTCAAATTTTTTTTTAGACATTCGCCTAAAGTACTAGCAATGCTAAAGCCATTGAATAGAAACTCACCAAAGTTTTATGAAAGACTTTAATTTCATTTTATACACTAATGACAACCTTTCATGTAGCTCCTTCACGTAGATTTGTTACGAGTGTCAATTTCGAAAACAATCATCATGATGAAGGGGAAGGTTTCCAAACTTCACACACTCAAAGCGTGTCTCTCTTCTTGTTGTTCTTGTTTATTCCAGATTGGAATTTCAAATTAAAATTGGAAATTGGAAATGGAGCATTGTGTGTTTCTTCTGTAGGAATGGTGGAACACAAACATGGTTTTTTTTTATTACCTTTAATAATATATTACAATCATGCACTTTCGGTAAACTGACTTTTGCCCCACACTGTATATAGACGATCGCGAGTGACATAAGTAACCATGGGAACTTTTTTACATCAGATGATATCGTCTATCTCATACTCGCGAGTCGATTCATCATCGGGTACTTGAGCATACCCATGTGGGCCGATCCATGGACCGCGCTTGCCCCCAACGAATCCACTGCGATGAACGGGAATCCGACGGGGAGCAAGCGCTTGATCGATGCGAGAACTCGGCACCCCGCGACTGATCACCTCGACCTCCGCCCGACGACTGAGGAATGGAGCGGGTGAGTTCTCGAGTCTTTTCCAACGTCGGGGGGGGAAAGGGGGGGTGGGGGGGGGGAAGGTCGTCAG